AAAAAAAAAAACATCGGAAATAGAACAATTCATTCGTTACTCGTAACAACACAGTTGCACAGAAAGATGGTTACCGTAACCAACTACAAAATAGTAGGAAATTCCGTTAAACAGAATCAGAGCAAGTGAATACAGCTACATGTTTTGATAAAGTAAAAGTGATCAAGTAAAGTTTATCTAAACATGAATCAGTCAACTTAATACATGAAGAGTCACCATGTAACAGTATGGCAGGGTAAGACGCCTGGATAACCTAGTTAGGGTAGAGTAATTCTATCCTGTAAGGGCGTCATGGTATTGCAGTTATCATGCAACAAGTGCCGCGAGATGTGAAACGACGACAACGCTAGAATGGACGACGTAATGAGCCGGAAATAGAAGTACTGCTGTTCAGTTGTGTGCATTCTCTGGGGTCGAATTCTGATTGGGATTTTGGTCGGCTATCGCTTCCTCAGGAAATTCTAGCTCCCAAATTCGTTTCAGATGTTTACCCTTGACGTCACGTGGCATTCCGAAACCTGTCATTCCCTGAAATAAACACAATTTATTCTATGATTGTATGGGTAGGTACAATCTCCCATGAGGCTAGGGCAGTGAAATACTCAATCGAGTTGGGGATCTCAAACAGGAGAAGCTAGTAAGTACTGTTTAGTAAAAGGCCTCGGCACAAGGCTTGTTTGTTAGACTAACGAAGGTCCACCGTTCTCGCGGATTTATTTCTCCTGTCAATTAGCTTTGGACACTTCAACCCTTCCTTGATGGAGAGGTACTCCTTCGCAGGGGTCCTGTCACTTTCGGACTTCTTTTAGATGAACCCTCCTGAGGAATTTTCGAATTTGAAGGAGTTCACCAATGTCGTACAGTGTACCTTACCAATTCGTCGACTTTTCTACCGGGCCTGACGGTCTAAACGGCCCATTCGGCACCAGACATTGGATTTCAGAAGCCTGTAGTTATAAAAGTGTGTGACCTATTCACTGTGAAAGCAGCTAACGGATGAGCCTTCATGAGCCTCATCCTCATTCTGTGTGGGTGTCTTCCTTGAGCTCATGACTAAAGTTGGAGAATTCGCTCCTATCAATTTACCACTCAAGCTAACCCTCTTTCCCCTACTCATTTAGCCCATAGAATCAGCTGAGCAGATGCAAGCACAACCACAATGCCAGTCGGGCTCTCTTCTCACACACACAGATATCCCTCTCGATCAATTCGGAACAACAGATGTTTGATGATCAATTGAGGTCGATAAGATAGCGAAAGGATTTCGTCAATCCTCAACGATCCGACTGTGTGCTCAAGCCGAATTGTGTGCGTTTCAGTAAACATCACAGCCGTGAAAGAAACGGGCCGCGGCACGGAAATGATGGGATTCGCTAACTTGAAAAAAAAGCCCTCTGTGTGTCACTCACAGTTACCGCTCACAGTACTCGGAAAAGTGGATACAGTGGTTGAATCAATACCGGTGAAACAATATTTTTAAAAGATCTTGCCTTTTCTAATTTAAAAATAAGTCTATCAAGGGTGGTGAGCTATGTACAGGAGAGGGTTCCTCGGCTCAACTTCTGTGTAGGCACGCGCCAAACGGTAACTAAGCTGAGGTCCCCTCCCCCACTATCCCTTTCCCAGAATGTTCAGTCAACTTTTATTTGTGACCAGATAATAAAAAGGGGTCTTGGGCAGAACTCGAACGCGGCTCTGTGCTTTCCATTTACCGTGATCTTCATCCCTACCGCTTTGGAGACCCTGCTTGTATTCACCGTCTTGAAGGCATATCAGCCATAGCCTGTCAAGGTACTTGATAGATGCTGAGTGGCCTTGGAAGGGCCCCATATATCTGAATCTCAATGAGATTCGATATGGCATCCTGGACGCTTTCGGAGGACCTCTAACTTGAAGGCGGAAGCAGTAAGAAAGCCTGTGAAACCTGCTTAGGGACTGTCCTTCAGAGGACATGGTACCATGAGCTGCCAACTTAAATTTATGGTAGAAACTTCGAAAACTTTGGAAATGGTTGCAGCTCGTCCGAATACTCTGGAGGATTTGGTAGTTCTCCTTTTACTTTGCCAGTACTGAGCCAATCAACTCTATTCCCACATGATCTTGCTTATGATAATGGTTTTAATGTACTCTCTGTTATATCAGTGACCTTTTCGATGATGAAAATAGGCGGCTCCTTTGAAGGCTCCGACACAATCAGAGCAGCAGATCGGTAGATTGTTCTTTGGGCTGTTAGTACATGGCGGAAGTTTTTTGCACACTCCCACTCCAGGTAAGAAACAAACCACACCCTCACTCTTCATTTTCGGGAGCACTTTGCCCAGCTGTCACCAATGTCCCGGATTTTGACTTAAACATTTCGTATATGATTCAAAAACAAAAGAAGCAGCATAGGAGAGATCTTCCTCTTCCCAATCCTCTCATCCTTTTCATCTTTCTAACATAAACATCCACAGATACAACATAGGAGCACACCCTCACCCTCTGTTACTTGGAAAATAGCACACGAACAAGAGACATGGTTAGTTGTTGACCTTTTGACTCTCGAATTGATTGGTCCCGGATTGAAGCCGAACGATGGCGTCACTGGCTCGCAGTTGTTCGATTGCCCAACGTTTTCCGTCATCAGCGAATTCGACTGCAGTCTGGGTGTTTCGAGGCATTCCAAAGCCTGTTTTACCCTACATGAAAACCACACTTAAGACATACACAACACGGTATTGTGCAAACTCAACAACGTGGACAACACAAAATAAACTGAAAAGAGTTTCTGAAACGTTTTTTGAATACTAGTAGGGTCCCTTTGGGTGTGGTACTGAATAATCTCACCAAGAATGAACGCATAAGATTTTCATGGCTGTGGCTACGCATGGGGAAAGTTTAAGGACAGGACGTGCCACACCTCAGCAGCACCATGTCATAGCCTCAGCTTAAACCATTCTCGAAAGCCCTCTTCATTGTTGCATGACGCTTACTTTTTAATCAGAGAGTGGTAAGTTACTAACCATGAAGTTAGAATTGAGGTATCTTGAATACTATTCATGAATATGGGAATGAAAACTGCAAAATGAAGTTCCCAATAAAGTTATGTGTACTCGTAATTCCCATGACGGTAGTATTAATTGGAAAGGGGTTTGGGTGTCGTTCGCCTTGATCTCCATTCGAAGTTCCGTGACAGTTAAACTATCCCTGCTTAATACGAGAGTAGGTAGAGTAGTACAGAAATTTCTGGCTTGTTTTAGAAATCTTTGGGAAGCCGTATACAGAGCACTTTCTACTACTTGATGCAACTCGCTAATTTGGTTTTCGAAAACGAATGAGCTTCATTTCATACTTCATTTAGATTCAGCACGTTCTTGAAGAATCTGTTTATCACAAAAATCACTTAATGACATGCTTTAATCGGGAAAAGTTGATTGAGACCAGGGGCCATTCAGGAGTCATTGGAGGGGAAGAAGACGGTTGTATTCAATTAAGATTCCAGGAGCTAGGTCTGGATAGTCCAGATGATGTATTTCAGAAAATCATTGGTGAATCCTTTTTACAGAAGCTGATNAATGTAGTGAAGTGGATCTTAGGAACCACTTACCGTGTACTACATATTGATTCTTACTGGTTAGCCTTACCACTTGGTATCATGGGCAAAGCTAACTAAGACTGTGGAAGGCAAGCTAAGTCAAACTACAAGCCCCAAATCGAACTTCACTACCGAACTCGAAATTTGCTTCGGTAGTGGAGTTCGATATGGTATTTATTAAGTTGAGTCATAAGTCCTCGGACAGTGTGATAGTAATGACTTCTACTGATCACAACTTGGGAAAGTAGTGACGAAAATGGACGCCGAGGCATCATTCGATAGAGTGTGAGAAGCTCTTCTAAATATATAGAGAGCTGTCGTGAACTGGCAGTTACTCTTAGAGTGAGTCAGCCCACAACTGTTCGTAGATTGAAGTCAATCGGCAAGGTCGATGGGTGCCCCATGCTTTGGAGCAGTATGACATGGACGGCAGCGCCGACATGGCACTTTCTCTCCTCACGCTCAATCGTAGGAAATAGTCAGGTTTGTTTTTCAGTATGTATTTGAAAGAGCTTTTTGAACTCTATCTAATGATGCCTCGCGCGTCAATTTTCGTCACTTCTTTCCCGAGTTAAGATCTCCAGAAGTCATCACTATCACATTGTCCGAGGACTTATGANTCAACCTAATATGTCCGGCCCTTTTTTAGCTCTCACTTTTTTTTAAACCGCCGTCTGAAGTAGAATCCCTCAACTCGATTCGGTAGTTGGTAAATGTCCAGATGGTCAACAGCATTTCATAAAAGTTTCCGGGATAAAAAAGTAAAACGACATCAATAACTTCCGGCATGCCTACACCACCACTGTTTGTACACGGCATTATCAAGTGTATGTTGAAGTGATTGGAAAAAAGGCTACTTATCGAGCAACCGCACTTCCTCAACTTCCTGCTGTCACTACGAGACAGGATTAACCTGAAGACAAGGCTTGGATAGAAACTACACTTGAGTTCTTTAACTAGGGTGAAAGCCGAGACAAGCTTGAAGCCTGTTTGCACGAATGGATTGCGTAAGGAACTCAAGTAGATACATAAGCTACCGGACTTCTGGATCTGTGAGACTGGTAGTGGTTTAACGAATAAAGCGACATTCCGGATATAATCGACTTATCGACATTTGTATCCGTAGAAAGTAGGAAAAGTTGGGAGGTTTGAGCAAAGCAGTAATGACGAGTATGCGTCGTTAGGCTTCTTAAGTACACCGATCAGTACTTCGGAGGTGCTTCAGACAGAACCTTTCACTATTCTACATCGACTCTCTACCCTCGTAGTATAAGCTAGAATCCTAGCCTCTCAAACCTTTTTAGGGAATTTCAAGAATTTCGTTAAAGGTGCAACCTGTCAGCGATAAACTCAACATCAGTATCTGGGACCCTCGCCGAACAAACTCCAACGTCACCGACGACCCTCATCTTTCATTGTTCTTAATTTCTTCAATGGGGACTAGAGTATCCAGGACGAAGGACCACCACAAACTCAAGACTACGCCTATATTCTAAAAGTTGATCAGAGCACGGGATAGGACATGCTTTTTTGGACTGTCCTGTGCTCTGTACTTGGATCATAAGGCACTACGCTCTCACAATGCCCTGAATCACTGCTATCACTGTCCCAGAGCATCGCCGATGCCATCGGAGGAAAACTACGAAGTAAGTCGCAGCCTACCTCCTACATACTGACCATAGCTCATTCGCACTTCCACACGGCTACCCAGGTTGTATGAGCTCGGATGGATCCCCTTTTTCACTTGCATCATAGTAGCATCACTCTTTCATCTCCTAGCTTTTCAATGTACAGCCTCCCTCACACAGATTCATGATCAGATTAAGTTCCAGGAAAAACTATCGAGCAAATATACCGCGGCCTCTCAAAATTATTCCGTCATCTTGATTAATGACAGCAGCACTAGTGTAAACCAGATGAAAGTCAGCAGTTTTTGCATGATCCCGTGCACGTTTGTCGGTAGTTCGTAGGTATGGGGATTTCGTTAGGCAGACGAGAATGCTGTCTATTTAGTGCCTGTAAATGCCGTATACGAGGGTTAGATGATTTTTGGGGAGCTTTGACAGTTCATTTATTTGGGGTTAGGGTAGTATGGAGCTCCAAAGTTTCAAGATGCATAGTAGCTGCATGACTGACTCAATACGAATAGCTTACCCTCTGTGAATCGAACTGATTGGTTCCGCTCTGTAATGGAACGATAGCATCCGTCTGTCTTAACTGACGCAATGTCCATTTTCCTGAATTCCGAAGGGATCAGTCATTGAAAACAAAAGCAATAGAAATAGCTGCAGATCTCTTAGAGTGCTCTATGATGCAACGAGGAAAAAAGGGAATGTTCACATCGTTAAGATCAGCCCTGACTCGAGCGATCGAGCTCACATGACGCTTTCCAGCCGTCATGTGGACTCAGATTCGAAAAACATGCCTTAGATTTGAAAAATGGAAAACTTGAAGGAACGAACACTGTGTAAGTGGGAGGTTACACAAAAAACTTATACAGGAAGTACTTACCGTCTCTGGTTCGTCTTTCATTCTGATCAGTACTGGGAACATTGACGGCAGCGATTTTGAGACCACCCTCTGGAATCGACCAAAGTAATGAATTGATCAGCAGAAGGATTTAGCCTTTGTGTATGCTCACGAGTCAGCGCCAAGGAAGCTCACTATCATTGGAGGGATCTGTCGAGCATCTCTAGCATCTTGACACCTTTCCCATACCTACCTGAGAGGGTATTGAGCTTATCTACTAGTAGTACTTCGAATACTGGCTTGCCCTACAAGTAATCGATGGCTTGATGTTTGTTTGAAAGCTTTAGGACTTTGAGAACAGGAGATTGAGCACCTATTGTAACTCACATGACACGCGCTCCTATCCCACCTCCACCTCCCCCTCCTCTCATCCTCCTGAGACTTGGTATTATATATTTATTATATATTTGAAGCAGTGCCCTAAGCCTTTGCTCTAAGCTCCCAGCATTACTGTATCTCATTCCTGTCTCCTGTCTCTCTTCGGAGGAGGAATCACTTATTCAGTGAAGAACCGTAAATGACATCAAGAGGGAAGCGTTTTTTCAGCTTTGAGTGATCAGGGATGCTCAAAATCCATGGAAAAACTTCCAGCATAAAAAAAATCCAAGAATCATGGGTAAAATTTGAACAGAAGTCTTAGCAACGGTCTTAAAACAAGTTGAGTAGTCTCTCACTATCGTTCAAGAACAGCCTACCCGAAGCACAAAAATGCAACGACCATTAATTTTAAACAGCTGTAGGCCAAATGAATAAAAAAAAATTGGGGTAGAACTTACCATTACCTGCGGCATTCTGTGTGGTAGCCATGATCGGAACTGAGCGACTTAGTCAAGTGGACGATTTTCGCCGCCCCGTCTCCACCTATCTGTCTCCTCCTCTACCACTTCTTCTCCATTGCAAACATACAACCGCCATCTCCTCTACCAACTCCTCCTTCCCCCCGCCCCATACTCCGAACCTCACACTCGATCCGTTTGCATTGATCTCTAACGAAAACTCAGCAATAAAGCGGATCCTCCGCATCGCGCGCTGTTTCCACGTCTCTTTTCTCCCGCTCTCTATCACCGTTCACAACGCCTCCACAAGTTTCGAGAGCTCTGAGTCATACCGAAGGGCGTCTTCCGTCAGTTATGCAGGCGGTGTTTCCCCAATATTTTCACATTAGCTACATTCAAATCGTCACAGCAGCTGCTCGATAGCAAAAATTATCACGAAAACAATAGAACTTCAAGAAAATAAAACTTAATGAAGCGATGGGGAAAGGTCAAGAAGAATCGAGGAATCAAGCGATCAAGGAGATGAAGAAAAGCTCTGAAAATGAACAAAAAATCATGTATATCAAATTTCGAGTAATACTGGCGCTCTTCGAGTTGAGTTATACAGAATTGTATAGTACTGAAGAGAAGAAGTACAATAGCCAAAGTTCACACTGAGAAGAGGATGTACAGTGGGAGAAACTATTAATTATTCATTTAAAAAAATTAATAATCAAGTTAGTCTGGTTACTCTGCCCTTCACAATTGTTCTGTTTTCAGCCATTTATTTAAGAAAAATCCATCAATTTACAGTTCAGTAGTACCATCGACCAATTTTTTTCTGGCTAACTGTGATTTATAGGTTTCCACCT